ATCAGTCCTTCCGTTCTGTAACGACCACCTTTACGCACTCACGCAACGCCGTTAATAAGCTCAGAACGAGGTACTCTTTCCCTTTTCGAAAAATCCTGTCCCTGCACCCCCCCTGAGAGATAGGTGCGCGCGTGATGTTTTGTAACGGCCCAAAACATAGGGCTTATTTCTGCCGCTAAACATGTCACACCTGATAAGTATCATTATTTATTAAATAGTAAGTAACTACATATAGATTATTTCCTTACTATTATCTATATAGCCTTAGATAACTAACTATAATTTCTTATATAGTTACTTAATTTTTTCTTTACCTTTATATACTATATATAACTTAAAGATCTTTATATTACTATATGCTTTCTTATTATAGGTAATAATATAAAATACACTATAGTTAATAAGGGCTTTTACCTCTACTTTATTAGATTCTTTAAATAGCTTACTTAGCGTAGTAATAATGCCTTTTTTATATAGTTTAATAGTAAGTATATAGTCTACCTCTTTCTTTAAAGTAAGGTATATATTAAAAAGGTTAATAGTAAGAAATATTCTATAAAAAAAGGCGTTAACTAAGTTCTTTTATAGGTAGCTATAGCCTTATAATAGGGGCGTTTTATTATTAACAATAATAGTATTATATACTTTCTTTATAGATTTAGGGGTTACTATAGGCTTCTCTTCTTACGCCTATATAGATTTATTACCTACTTTAGCTATTACTAGTAGTAGTAGTAGTAATTAATCTTCTTCCTATACTATATAGTATAGCTTTACTATAGTAATTTAAAGGTTATATAGGCTATAAGGTAACTTAATAGTATAAGTAGTGCTATTATTAGTAACTAGATAAAATAGGCCTTACTAGCTATCTTTTTTATACTATATATAGATAAGTAATTAAAGGGGTAGTGCTATAGTACCTATTATATCTAGGCTGTTATATATTACTAGCGTATTATATACTTATCTCTTAGTGTAGATTTACTACACTACGCTTATAGCCTTCTTTACTAATTTAGCGCGCTATATAGTAGAAGGGGCAGGTAGTAAATTATCTATAATATAGAGGTATATACTAAAAATAAGTAGGGTTAGTTTAAGGCTATTAGGGCTAGTAGTATTATTAATAGTCTTAATAGCTAGTTAAAAGGCGACTTTAGGTTTATAATTACTATCTATATAGAGAATCTTACATATATAGTAAAAGGCAGTATAATATTACTTAACCTTACTAATAGATTAATAGGCCTTAATAAGCACCTTATTTATCTTAATAAATCATATATAAGTAGTACGTTTAAATTTAGCTATATAAGAATGTAGGCTAGCGTTAGTAGTAATTTAATTAGGTAGGCTAAGTTATATATTAATCTAGTATATTTATAGTGCCTCCTATACATACTTTATAGTAATAGAATATAAGAATCTTACTATATTAAATATAGTAACTAAGTTAACTATATAAAGCACTAGCTTATTACTACTTAGGTATATTATATTAATAATAATCCTATAGTTAAAATTATACTTATTATATAATATAAATTTAAAGTAACTAGGCGCTTTTATATTAAGTTAGTAGTAATAGTAGTATTTATCAATCTCTTTAACTATAGTAAGGGAGGTTAATTTACCTACTTATTTAAGAAGCTTAAAAAGGTAATTTACTAAAGAATAGCTAAATTAGTAGTAAATCTAGTGTAATTCACTATTAGTCAAGTGTTACTCTATAATAGTGCTCTCTAGTAGATCTAAAAGTATCTATACGTAGCCTTATTTTTAGGTAATAGGTATAATAATCTTATCCTTAATAAGCTAGTTAGTAAAGTTATTAAATTTAACACTATACTAATCTATATCTTATAAGTAGAGGAGAAATAGCGTATTACTTATTATTATATAGAAAATAAGCTTACTAATTAGTATAGGTATATAGATTACACTAAGGGACTTATAGTAATCCCTACTACTAAAGTAAATTATTACTTTACTAGTATATATAGTATCTAGTAAGATCTTCTTACTAAGGTGTTTTTTAAGGGCGTAGTACTATTATTATCTAGCTGTAAATACGTTAGCTACACTACTGTTAGGTATTATACCTTAAAAGGTAAATATAAAGTAATAGTTATTAAATATAAAGATATTATTACTTTTTATAATAGCGTTAGATAATAACTCTTTATATAGATTATTATAGGTTATAGTATAAAAAGTTACTTAGTTATATAGCTTCTTATAAGTAGATAGGCTATTAATTAACTACTTACTAAAGTATATAGTTATAGTAAAAAACGTAGTAGATTTATAGTTTTTACTATCTAATAGGTAAATCTTATTATCCTTATTTACTTCTTTAAGATAACTTAGTTCTATTCTTTTATAGTTAATAAGAAAGTAACTAAAGGTAGTTAGTAAAGCCTACGTAAAGTAGGTGCTTTTATACTATATAAAGGAGGCCTGTTGCTCTTCCTTTATATATTTAGTTAACTAATAGCCTAATTTACTATAGATAAAGCACTTCTTAAATAGATTACTACTAGGTAGTGCTTTATTATAGGCTAACTATAGAGGGCCTTATAACTAGCTTTACTGTTACTAAAGATCTACCTTATAGTTATATTAGCTATTATACTTATAGTTAACTTAATATTAGTTATTATTATAATTATTATTATTACTAACGTATTATAACTATAGGGTATAGTAAAAAAGTAAATTTACTACACTACTATATAATTATATATAAAGTCTACTAAAGGTTATAGGTAGATTAAGAATAGTAATAAAGTATTTAGGTATACTATAGTAATAAGTAAGTACTTACTTATAGTATATTTTATTATATAAGGTGCTGTTATAAGTAGTTACTTATATAAGCTAGGTAATTTACGTAATAAGCGCGTTAAGGACCCTAAGCTTACTCTTATTAGTATTCTCTCTAGTAACTAAATTAAAGAAAGTATAGTAAAGCTTAGTAAGATATAAAAGGTATACTTTATTACCTTTAAAGCGCTATTTAAGCTTTACTATTATTATATTAAAATTATTAAAATAACTATATGTCTGCATAACAGGTAAGCTAGTCTCATAGATAGAGAATTCTAGCTAAAGAGAATATAAGAGAGTATATCTCTTATATAAAGATATATCCTATAGAAGCAAGGATATAGGATAAAAGGGGAATAGATATGCTTATACCTAGGGTAGGTAAATAGAAGATATAAGGATATGTAGTTAAAGAGAGTATAGTAGTTAGATTGTTAACTATTTGCTTACTTAGAGGCCAGGTCGCCCCATAAGATGTAATGCATTGGGGACAGTATAGATATATCGCTCTTTCCAATCCGGCTGGCGACCGACCGCACTGCCGAGGTATTGTTCTCACCATAGTAACGTGTCGAACGTGTTAACCCTTCACTTCCGATGGTGACCAGTTCGCGGGCTGCGATCCCGTCTTCCCTGCAAACGATCGTTCCCATGGCTGTTCGGTTGCCGCTGCCTCAGCACTCCGAGTAACGGTCCTTCAACGTAAAAACGAACGTTCCCCCAAAGAGGTCAACGAAGCTCACACCCCTACAACACTACCTAAGGTAGTATAATACTTATATAGCTCCCCTTTTAGTATTACTATTATTAATATACTATAGTAGTTTTATAGTATACCTATATAGATATAAAGATTATAAGAAAAAGGCAGTTTTAAGTTAATAGTTTTATATAGGCCACTACTATATATTAAACCTAGATTATTAGTGTAGAATTTTATTAAGTCTATTAATTACCTTAGCGTTAGGCTACTTTACTTACTTACTGTTATATTAGGTGTAGCAGGCGTTACTATAAGTAAGAGGTATAGCTAGACTTAATCTTTATAAATTACTATAGTTATTTAGAGTTTTATAGTAATAGGGCAAGGGGAGGTATAAATAATAGGTTGTTATATAAGGTTACCTAGGTAGTTATAGGTAAATTACAGATAGTAGCCTGCCTAGCCTTCTCTATAAGCTTAAAAGGTAGCTTTACTATACTAGTAATATCCTTATAAAAATCCTTATCTATTAGTTACTTCTTAAATTACTAAATCTTTTATAAGGTAATTATAATTAACTTTTTATCTTATATAACATATAACGTATTTTATATAGCCTTTTAAATATATAAACTAATTATAAAGTTTTTTACTTTATAGCCTATAAGGTAGTTATATAGTTTATTAGTAATCTTATATACTAATAGTAAGAAATTATTAACTAACTAATCTTTAAAGTTAGATTAGGCCTTACCTTAAAGTTCTTAATAAAGATAGTTATAATACTTATATTTAGTAATATAAAACGCTACTATTATAGTAAATACGTTTCTTTACTTAGTAATTAGGAGATCTAGTAGTAACTTAGTAATATAGTCTTTTTACTATTAGTTAGTAAAGATAAATTCTTTAAGTCCTTTAGGCACTTAGTATCTTCTAGTAATTACCTTTACTTTCTTAGTAGCGTTAGGCAGTAACACGTACATAGGGTAAATTACCTTAGGCTACTTAGTAGCGTTACTACCCTGCGCAGTGCTTATAGCATCCTCTTTATGCTTACTTATCTTAGCTGCTTACTTATAATTACCCTCTATTAGCCTAACTACCCCTTAGTTATAGACGTTTCTTTTAACTATTATTAAAGGGTGTATATATCTATTAGAGGATTTACTACTAGTAGTATAGGTAACTATAAAGACTGATAGTTAAAGAAAAAGGGACATAAAGAAACTTTACTCTTAGTAAGCTTATAGGTAATAAATAAGCTATTATGTTAGTAATAGGGAATAACTTAATAAGAATAAGAAAAAATATATAAAGAAAAGAAAGTTAGTAAGCTGCTTAGGCTTATAAGAAAAAGAGTAATAAGAGATAACTTAGTAGTAGTTACTAGTTAATAGTAAATTAGTATATAAAGTAAGGTGTTCTTTATGTTTAAGAATAACTTCTTATATAGTAATAAAGTTAATTTACTTATATAAATAACGTAAATTTATATATCTCTCTATAAGTTAAGAGGACAAGTTACTATTAATATAAATTAACCTATAATAGGCGTATAGTATAACCTTTAGTATAAAGGTATTTATAATAGGGTTTTTTAGTAAAGCCTACTTTAGGCCTCTATAAATAGTTAATAAGGAAAATTACCTCTTCTAGTGCCCTTACTAATCTGTAGTAGTAAATAGTAGTATTTAACTACTAATTAGTGTTAAAATCACTAGGTTTAGTAATATAATTAACTATACGTATTAATATATAATTAATAAATAATAGGGGTAAAAACTAGATCTAAATTATACGTAAAGGAGAGAAACTATCTGTAGGTGTTATATAGTAAAATCGCTAGGTAATACCCTATAGATCCCCTAGTAGATCTATAGTTAATTAGCTGTAGCTTCTCTAGCAGATTAGCGTTAATTATAACGCTAATAATCTAGGTAATAGTTAACATTATTACACTATAGAAGTAAGGAAATTCCCCTATATCTAAGTTAGGAAATCCTAGACTAATCCTAGCTATTTAATTAGTAAATTAACCCCTTAGAGTAGGACTAATTTACTGCCTATTCCCTAGAAATTTACTATAAGGTAACTATGTATTTACTAGTTAATTTATATATAATTCTGCTATATTTAATACACCCCCTTAGCACTAGTAATATAGTTAATTACTATAGCGCCTACACTAAATATCCTCTATTAATAGCCTATTTATTTATTAATTATTCTTTAATATCTTATACGTTTTCCTCTTTTATTTAGTAGTAAAGCTTTACTTTATTATTAGCTAGTTCTTACTATTAATTTACTTTAAGGCGTATATATTAGTTACTTATATTTAATTAGGCTATAAAGGTAGTAAGTTATAACGTACTAAGCGCATTTATTAATATAATAGCTATAAACTTAGTAGACTTCTTATATTTAATAGTAATCTAATTTATAGCTACTTCTTAGTATAGCTAGTAGTTATAAATATCTATATACTATAGGCTTATCTATAGTTAGATAAGCTTCTTAGTAATAAGCCTAATAGTCTAGGTATTATTATAGCTAATATAAATAGTTAGTAGCTATTTAGTAGCTACCTACTTATTAAGTAATGATTTAGTTCTTACTTTAGTTAATAGTTAAGTACCTAGCGTAGTAATAAATCTACTAGTAAAAAGTGCCTCTTTTATAGTAAATAATAGCGCTAGTAACTTGGCCTTAGTAGTTAACGTTATTACTATATCTTATTTCTTTACTTACTAGAAGATAAGCCCTTTAAATAGCTTTAGTATATACGCCTATAAGCTATAATAATCTAGTAAGTTATTAGTAAATAGGGCGTCTAAAGTAATCTCTAACGTATTACTTTTACTACCTAGTGTTACTTTATATTTAAGGTAAAGATATGACGTCTTATAAAGATACCTAAGTATATAATTTATAGCTTTTTAGTAATCTAGATTTAAATTATAGTTAAAGTAAGTAAGCTAGCTAGCTATAAAAATAATATCTAGCTAAGTTATTACTACTATATATAGAATTATCTTTATCTTTTTTTAGTATTTATTAACCTCTATAATAAGGCTATATATTTACTAAGTAATAGCTTAGCTTTTACTATAGGTAATAATATTTATATTTATTATTTATTAGTAGTAGTTTTATTATTTTATTATAGTATATTACTTATAAAAGCTAGAGATAATAGTTACTTTAGTTATAAATTACCTTAAGGCTAAGGAACTATTATAATAGGCCTCTACCTTTAAGGTAGTATTATTACTAAAAAGCTACTATCTTATTACTTACTTATACTTTATCTATATAGTAATACGCTAATATATAATTATTTATATAAAAAAAGAATATAGTATAGTCCTTCTTTTAGTAGTAATTCCTACTAGGTATTTAGTAAAAGCCTTATATAGTAAGCCCTTCTTTAAGGTGCTTTTACTATAGTAGAGGTAATTATTAAAGCCTATAAAGCGCTTTTAATAACTAAAAAGTTTAGCTAGTAATTTAGGAGCCTAAAGGTATCTCTGTCACAGAAAGATTTTCAAGTTATGTTCGCTCCCCATCCACGATCGGTCACTAATAACCATGTACAGGTTTCAGAGACCCTAATTCTACGAGATCGATTGGAACCGATCAATAGATTATGGAACGGTCAGCATCACAAGCTCTCTTTACGCACGCACATTGATCAATGAAGCGTCGCAGAATGAAAAGCTTCTTCCTGAGCGTTCCAATGCTGCTCGCGATTTGTGAAACGGCGGACCGTTTTAGGGGCGAATACTCTCGTATAACCGCGTGACCAATCAGATAGCCTTAGGTCTCTGGGCCAAACGTAACGCCGGGAAAAATCCATATAGATATCTTAGTGTGTTACCTAATTATAAAGCGCTTAGTAAAGTAATATTAGTATACCTAAATACTTTATTTATTTCTTTATTAGCTTCTTTATATATACGAGATTATATACTTATTATAATTAACTAGTTAATTTATTATTAAATTATTATAAGTTTAGCTTTATAAAGCTTATTAAGTAATCTGTTTATTAATCTATTAAAGATTTACTTTCTATTAAATATTATATTATATATAGTAAAGACCTTATTTTACACTAGGTACTAGATATAATATAAATTACTATAGGTATACCTAATAAGACATCTAATCTATATATAGGTAGTAAGCTCTTACTAGTAGTTATATAATAGTTATATATCTACTATTAGTGTGTATACTTAGTAGCTATAGGGTTATAGATATAAAAGATCTAGCTTTACTATTAGTAAAGGCTTAGCGTACTTATTAAGTATAAAATATAAGTAAAATAATTAATATAGGGATTTCTACCCTTAAGCTGCTAATAGCGTTTAGTTATAAAGATATATAGCTATAGTTATAATCTTAGTGTTACAACCTAAACATATATAACTAAGACTAGGGCCTGCCCTACAGGCTTACAGCGGCTATAGCACAC